TGGTCGTATTGCTTTGATCCCTCTAGCCTCAACTTTTTAATATTGTATAAGTACCTTCTGTGGGAGTGGGTAGATTGAGTGTCTTCTATAGGCCTGGTCCTATATGTCTCTGTAGTATATTGATCCTAATTTATGATGATCCCCTAGGCACCCGTATGCGTCTCCCCATGATCACCTTATCTCAATTTTCATAGCTAACAACTGCCTATTAGCCTTCTTGATTTTGGTGTGTTTACGTTGTATGGCTATGAAAGCCAACTGTGCTCTGAGAGTGTTCCTTTATTTAGAACTACTTGCCCCATAGGAGGGGGTGTGAAAATAGACAAAAGTATTGAAGAGTATAGGAAAGAAGAAAAGGATATAAGAGGTTAAGAAGGGAGATGGAAAAAAAGAGGGGGGGCCAGGAGCGAGCACCAGGAAGCAAAAGAGCGTAGATGTCGACGGGGAAGCCTACATACCCAGAGGACTACTATCCCATTGTTCCCAGAGCCTGTAGAACGTCTTTGTAGATCCCCTAACTCTAGCAGTCAGGTCGTCCATCAAGCGGATCTCCTTTATCCTATTTATTACACTTGCTACTGGAGGCATTTCCTGTTTCAACCATGTATATGCTATAGCACGTCTTGCCGCTAATGTAATTGTGTATCAACTGTTGTTCCCTGCGTGTCCACCCGTCGATTGATCTATTTAGCAGGTATACCCACGGGTCCAAGTCTGGTGCCCTAGTGAACACATGGGCCAGAATATCTTTTGTCTCTCCAGAATGGCTTGGCTTGTGGGCACTCCCACCACATGTGTAGGTATGTCCCCTATTCCCCACATCCCCTCCAGCAAACGTCTGAGGTGGTTTTGTGCATTTTAAATAATTTGCTGGACATTTTTTATAGACAAATGAGAAGACATTTTTTTTTTTTCTAAAATTAGGAGGCATGCGATAAAGGTTAGGTTTTCAAGGGAGATATAAAGTAAATTCCCACCTCAAAAACCTCACCACGGTGTAGGAGGGCTAGTGACATGGAGTACCTGATCTGGCAACCATCCCTCAGGTCACACAGGTCCTGCACAGCTTTTAATTTTCAATTTAGCACTACATTTTCAAACTTTCGATCTGTGCATGTAAATTGGCGCGATCGGAAGTTCAGTGGAACGCAAATGCCTTCTGGGCGTGCGTTCCACTGCTGTGCGCATGCACCCATCCTGTAATGTGGGAGGCCCGCCCAGGATCTGGCCACATAGGCCGGCTGCTTGTTGTGTTCTGTAGTGCAACGGAACAGAAGCCTCTGCCGCTCAGCTCCCACCTCCCTGGCCAGCAGCCTGTGCTGACCGCACCAATTTTTTCCACCTATTCCTGGAGCAGCCTGTCCGTCCCATGTGCTGGGACAAGAAGAATTGCAGAATCTTGGAAGTATAGGTGATAGAAGGGAAGCAGCAGGCGGGATCTCAATTGAATATTAAAATTTTGTGGGGAAAGATACAACCCACTTGTTACAGTACTGCCACTATACGTGAGTAAATATATATCTTTCACTTGTGGACAATGTAACATGCCAGTTTTAAAACATATTTTGTCGTGTTAATAGTGATTCACTGTTCTCTACAATTGCAGTTACACAAAAACATGTACCTTTTGGGATTTTCTACATTGCTAAAGTAGCCAATGTGTAGATTTGACCAATCAGTTCCCCCACAATTCAAAAAAGTAAATAATAAAAAGAAATCAATGAAAGTACAAGCAAAAAATATGAGCTGTAGCCATCTGTCAATTATCATTACAAAATCATTGTAGCTATCTCCGTAATTACATTGCTATCGCACGTGGTTAAGGAACTCTGTTTAAGGGTTCTTTCTTAAAAAAATTTATGGGCATTGTAAAGTGTTTTGTAAATGAATATAATATCTCCTAAATTAATCTTTCTACTTGTAATAGTGACTTTTAATGAAATCTTTCTGAAGAATAGAACTTGGCCCAGTAGCATATCTTGGTACGTGCTATAAATACGACAATCATTTTTTATATTTGTAATATAAATGGTACTATAAAATGGAAGTTCCCCTTTTTATGAAATAAAAAGCTGACTGCTCAAGTTAAGAGATAAGCTGCCCCACACTCTCAATGTGGAAATGGTTTGTTAGAAACTGATGAGCCCAACCCTTGTTTTCCAACACGTTGCCTAGAAAACCAAAGCATTTGTGAGAATGTATTCTCCTAGCTACAGTGTCCGTGTGCGTAGGAGTTGAAATCAATCGTTACTAAGCAGAAACAAAAGGAAGTATCTAATATCACAAGCAGGGAATACAAGATCATCATATAAACCATAAATAAAAACCTTGCTTTAGTTGCATACCGCATATAAATAGGCATTGTACAATGGCAAAGGGATATCAAGGCTTCCTCATATATGTAATGCTTGTTTTCATAATACCTACTATCATCAAAGTGTATTTATACACCTGTCTTCAGTTCATTCATAAAACTCACCTGTGTGCTTTGAACTTCCCATTGTTAAAACATGAATGTGCATATTTCTTTACAAATATCAAATGATCAACTATAACAATAAGGTATACTAAAAGCATCCACTTTAGTGGTTAGGGTTAAATTGGACCTACTTGGCTAATGTGTCAACTGTACCTGCTCAAAACTCAGACTTAAATACAATCAGGGTTTAAGCTCAGTACTTTATTCTCTGGGCTGGTGTGTTTTTTTTTTTATTATTTAAAAAAAAAAGAAAAAAGAAAAGAAAAGAAAAGAAAAAGGGACAAAATAAAAACAAACCTAGTGTTTAGTGTGCTAGGAGAACCTTGGCAAACTCCAGTATGTAGTCAAAATATTTAAGAAGGGTTTTTCAACTTACCCGGGTGTTTCAGGCACCCATAGCCGAGCCTCTAAATTGTACTCCAAGTAAAATAGGTTTAGGTTTACGTAGTTATACAGAGCTACTCTCATTGGCTGAGAACTAAGTGCATATGAACAAAACACATTCTAGTAACAAGTATATCCAACAGCCAAGTTACATCATCTGGATTGCATAATATATATTCTTAAATTACTACTAACGCTAGTGGTTCTGTCATTTAAACTCTTTGTTCAAAAAGCGATGCTTACATTGAAAGGTTAAATACACCTCCAGTAGCTGTATTTGAAAGCTACCAGAGGCATTCTAGAGGCAATGACAGAAAGGAACCTCTAGTCCCCAAATCAATTGTTCTTTTTGGGACTATAGTTTCCATTTAATTCTAAGCCAAAAACCTAGCCTTACTATAAATTTAAAGGAACAGGCATCACTTTGCAACAACTGTCTCATTCAAATGCTTTAAGTTTGGAAGGAGACAGTTCTTTCTTGTGCTTTCCACACCAGGGGACACCCTAATTTAACCAATCAATATCCGATCCCTAGGAATGCAGGAGATGTGCTTTGGGCATGCCTCACAGATTTACACATGTGCAGTTGGAAGATCTCTTCACCTTGACAGATAGAAAGGAAGACGAAAAGGAGTCTGATCAGTGTGATTATGCAGAGCAGGCTCCCGTGTCAGATTACTCTCTTTCGCTGCTGCACAATGACGCCCTGTTTCAGTCATTAGTGGACTGGGTGGGGAAGAGGGATGTGGGAGAAGGCTGAAATAATCTCTACTAGTTGCTAGGTGTGCCCAACAATGCAATCTGACCAAGTTTATACTAAGTTTATAAACATTTATTACATAGATTTCATGTTTTATTGCTTGAGGTTGGTTTGGCTATTTCTTTAAAAGTGTTTGCTTGCTGGTTTAAAAAAATAAATAAAATATTTGGCAAGTAAAATTTAAGCTCAACTAGACACATATGTGAGCAATGTATGAAAGGTACAAACAACAATATGGGGAGACAGGAAACATTGTAAAGAGTTCGAGGAAGACAGTATAGCTACCAGTATATATACTCACTGCAAAGACTAGTATAATGGTGTACTAAGATCCCACCCATGCAAAGCTCATTACAGATACAGAAACTATAAGACAAGTGGGTGGAAATCTAAATTTTACATACTGTACATTTCAGTTCCCATAGTGCAAGCAGCGGTAATGATTAGTGATGACTGCTGCTTGCACATATATCCTCTGCAATAGGCATGCAGTTAATACAAAGTTTGTTTGCTTTTTTGGCCTCAATTTAATTCTTTTGGATAAACGTTTCAAATTACCACAATCTGTTGTAGAAAAACCTTTCAAAACTGTTTATCTACAGACAACATTAAAGTCTATGGGAATATTTTTAAATAAATCATTTGAATTTTTTTCTAACAGATTGTGATCATCTGAAAAGCTTGCATTAAAGAATGAATGACCTATGTGTTTCTAACTGGAAGTCTCCTTTAAAAGATCAACCATGTAACAGTAAACTGCAACTATGCACCATTGAAAAAAAAAACTATATAAAGTTAACCAGATACATGGCTTACTAAGGAAAATCAACTAAAAAACAGAAACCACAAAAATCTCCACCCACTAGGCTGGTCACTTTTATTTTCTTCACATGCAAAGCATGTGAGTGCTAAATGCAATGCTTAATGGAAGTGATTCAGGGAGTAGTTGCTTAGTGCAACAGTGACCTTTTTACACTACATTTTATATGGGCTTGCTGAAATGGCAATACTATTGCTATAAGCTGCCCTTTCTCTGCAAACTGCTGGGTTTTGGTAATGAATTCTAAGGCCAGTACGGTCACAGCTTCCAACCTGCATTATATTTATCTCTACAATGTGAATGTACGAACACTTATCAATATACAAACCATTACTCCAAGACCGTAAGCTTGTTTGAGCTCGTTCATGTCAGCTTTATTTTATCTGTCAACTACTTGCGGTTCTAGATACATACTCTATAACTGTAAAGTGCTTTGGAACATCTGGCACTACATAAATGATAAAATAATAAATTTAAAAAGATTTTGTCCAGTCACGTTGCTCAGTGTACAATGTATTTATTATTTATTCATGTTTTTCATTAGAAAGACATATTGTGTTCAGATGCCTTCAATACTTTTTCAATATTTTTGGTTTAGATGTAAACAGCTGTGGGTGGAATTTTCTTCTGTATCACAATATTAAAGCATAATGAAACCAATAACATTTTAAAGCAAAAAAAAGGCAAATAATGGACTTTTAAAAAATATTTTTCTATTTATTTTTTTTAAACAAAACTGTATTTACAAGTGCTATTTTCTTTAGAGACATGCATTGCCTATAACAATGGAAATACACTCCGATCACTTAAGACAAAGTAAGCTCATCTGCATTTAACCTAGATTTACCAAATCGGTCAAAATTCACAAAATTCCTATAATCTTGGGAAAGTAGCCGAGCACACCAATGATTGCTCCTCATAACATTCGTTAGCCAAAAGGCGAAGATGTTGTGGGCTACGAATGCTCTGTCTCTTGGGCCTTTTCTGTCTCAGGATTTCCCAGTTCCGAACTCTGTACTTAGTTATGGCTCCATATCACTTTGTAAGTCCTTCTTGTAAACTTTCTTCTCACTGATAATCCAGCGTTAAATTAAAGGGCTGAATAAGAAAAGTTATTTTAAATTAATAGGTATCACTTTATAAATCATACCGAAGAACATCCCGTTGACTGAGACGAAGTACAGAAAGTCAGTATTCTAGAGAACTCCTCATACATGCAAATCTTTTAGAACTTCTAATTGGCTCATCAAAGTTGGCTAAAGAACCAAGTACTGGGGGTTTCCAAGTAACAAGGGTGCAAGCCTCAGTAATGCTCTCACTGGCAATCCCATGGTTTTGAATTTCAACAGTAGGTCAGAAAAACAGTGGCTTCCTGTGAACAGAAAACAGAAAAATTAATTAAGAAATAAATACATTTTTTCAGAAACAGATTTTAACAGATAAAATCCAAGTGAGTGATCTTGTCTGCCCACTACCTATCACAATGCAAGGTGTTTTTTCTAGATTTGGTTTCCTGTTCTGGATAGCAGTGTGCGCCATGTTTACTGTAACATTTAATGCACACACACAGATCCCGGGCACTTCAGCTATAGGAAACACAGCTATTGAATGCCAGTAAGACATGTTTGTGCATGTGTTTTAATATTTTATATTCATTTTTTTTTGTCACAAAGCAGGAGGACATCGGAGCTCCAAATTATGAAGATTTATGTCAGGCCTAGACAGACAGTAGGGTAATAGATTTATTTACAGACCTTCCTGTGAAAGAGAAAAATAATTCTGTTAAATTTTAATTTATTTTATCTAGTTATTTGTAACACTCTATATTGACGTCTTTTGCAAAATAAATACTCTTTCTCTGGAAGGACTTACAAAATCCCCTGTAATAAATACGTTTCCTGGAAGAGAAATCAAAAACTACTAATTATTAATAAAGGAGGTAAGAACTAATATCTTAACTCACAGCATCAGACTACCCACGAGACACATGTGAATTACCTTCCAGTGTAACTTGTGACAGCTCCTTTGGTGCTGGGACAGAGTGATAAACCAAGAAACATGCAAGCATGCTCGACTGAGAATCTTCTACAGGCTGGCCAGCTAAATAAGAGTGCAGTGCCACATCACCACCAGCTGTCAAAACACAAATATATTGCAGAAAACATTACTTTGCTCACTAGATTACAAGTCAAACTGTATTGTAAAAGTAATGTAAAAAGCCATATTACTAATGTGATTTCATTTTCAGGTTGGGAAGAAAATATGCTTTGACACAGCTTTCTGCTGAAGAATGAATTTTCTGAACATTTATTTAAACTTTTAGTTTACCAAGCTTAAAGAGACACTATAGTCACAAACAACTTTAGCTTAATGAAGCAGTTTTGGTGTATAGATCTTGCCCCTGCAGTCCCACTGCTCAATCCTCTACCATTAGGAGTTAAATCACTTTGTTTATGCAGAGGGCATTAGGTCCCCCCATCACATAACATCGGAGGAGGCAGAGCGCCGAGGGACATTGGCACCGGAATCAGGTGAGTAAATAAAAGGGTTTTTTTGTTTTGTTTTTTTAAAACCCTTAATGCGTCAGGGAGAGAGGACCAGGGGGCACTATAGTGTTAGGAGTATAGATTTGTATTTCTAACACTAAAGTATGCCTGCGATGAGACCGTTTTCGCATTTTAAATGGAGAATCACCACCTTTAGTATTTACTAAATGTCCTTTGTGTTTTATAGGGCTCTAAACTCCATATTACTCTCTAACCTCTATATTAATTAGTCAAGAAACTTATGTCTTGACCTATTTCCTTGATTTGAACATTATGAAGTTGAATAAAATAAATAAAATACTACCTTATTTACCAGTTCTATCATTGTCAGGCTCCATTCAAAAGTATCAAAGATTCTCAAATTAATTCTAATGGACAACTAACGGTCTAGGATTTTATCAGTAATTCCTTTAAAAAAAAAAAATGATAAGCAGTAATTCCAAGTTAGTGTGTGGTCTCTTGGCGCTTGGCAATGGTTTTCAAACATTTTGTACATAATGAGAAACAACGCAGTAAATTAAGTTCCTCTTTCAGAAACAAGAGATTGCAATGCATATTCAACCAACTTTTTCCACTTCCTTCTGTTACAAGTGTAAGCAATGTAGAGCAGCAAGTAAATTTATTTAAAATGTATTTTTAATTAAGTGGTATTTATTCCATAGTGTACAAGACAAGCAATCTTTTGGTCCTATGGGCACCTAATTGGACCAAATAATCACCTGATCAGAACACAGTCCACTTAAATGTAATACAAAAATTTAAGTGGGCATACTAAAAATGTATTTAGCATCAAATTAAATTATTATGAAATCCCCTTCCATGTGATAATTGCTTGAGAAGCTACTATGCATTCCTACCGGCACCCTTTGAAGTCAGACGCTATTCAGGTGGACGA